AAATGGGCCACCAACATAATATTATTGCACTTCCTTTTCCTAACCCAATTTACAATTGAGACTCCAATAATAATTATTCGATTTATCTCCCCATGTTTAAGATATAATGTCCATTAATTAATTCGATTACTGAGAATCAAGAATTAATTAATTTATTATTATTTCACCAAAGCTAGCGCTCGTTCATCACATTATTACTATGTCGGAATTTAATCCACCTGCAGGGTTTAGCATAATAATCCTTCATGAACTAACTCCGGGGACATCATCAAACTAATGCACATGGTGACCATAAATATCCTAACAGTACATCCTACATGTACCAATATTACCCAAGACAGCGGGTCTATTGGCCCAGTTCACTAATTAAGCCTCACCCATGTGAATCAAAGTAATAAATACTACACATATATGTCTGTTTAATATCTTACGGGTTAAGAATACGCAATAATTAACCGAGACCTAGTTCGTTTACGACGATCAGTATAAAACGAACTGCTCTTCTCTGGGATCATGTTCAATACATAAATGTACTAGTGCAACTAATCAGTCAAGACAAACTGTACATTTGACACTACAACCGTTCACGATGGGGTGTTCATGTCCATCTGGGTTGTGAACCACTTATTCTTGTTTCGCGAGTAACTGATAGCATGATCTTCGGTTCGCCCGATGACGACCCACACTATTTAATGCAAAACAACAGAACGTAGAACTTGTTTAATCTAACATGTTTCTCATTTATAAAGGGTAAAAGTGTAATATCATCCAAAGCCAAACTTTCAGTATATAGCACTAGCAGTACCAGTTTGAATCTCAGAAAAAGAGAGATAAATGTTGATCCCATTTGCCAGAGTTGTGGTGAAGCTGAAGAATCAACTGAGCATACTTTTTTCCATTGCTCCAGTGCCCAAAAAATATGGAAGTTATCTCCTTTTCATTGGGAGGGAATGGAGGGTACTAATAATCTCAGATTCTGTAGTTGGTGGAGGTAACATTTGTTTAGCGAATAAGATTCAAATTTCTGAGGAAATGATTCAATTGACCACCTATATGCTTTGGTGGATGTGGAAAGCAGGAAACTTATGGAACTTTCAACAAATCATGATGCCAGAGGTAGTGTGGTTAAATCTACATAAAGGAGACTTGATGGAGTATAGAGCTGCTAAGAGTTAACAATGAAAGGAGGTGGGTAGGTTGTTCTAGGTCCTTGGGTTTGAGTGGTTCATCTATCTTTGCTTCTTCAGTTTGTGGATCTCTCATGTTTGTTGGTTGTGGCTTTATATTGTGGTTAGCTGGAAGTTCAAGAAGGTTCATGTTTCTTTTAACTGTGATTGGAGTTTGCTTATTCAGTATGATTAGGTTGTTTTTATCTCATTTAGATCAGTGCAGGTTGTTCTATTAATGTATTGTTTGAGGTGTATTCTTAAGGATGTTGGCTGTAGTATCCTTAGCTATTTGTAGGGCTGATATTTTTTAACCGGAAATCGAACAGAACCAAACCGAACCAACGAGAAAATAAACTGAACCATACCGAACCGCTTGTAACGGTAACCGACTATCGGTTACCGAATCACTATCGTTACGGTATTGGTTTGAACCCATAAGAGTTCGGTAAAACAGATACCGAACCGACAAGGGTAAAAAAAAAAAAAAACTTTTTTTTTTATATTAAAACAAGGATTAGTTGTTTAGTGTTCAAAAATTAAAATAAGGGCTCAATCCTACCTAAATCTCAAAATGACGAGAAAAATACCACTACTCATCGGCTCATTCACCTTCTAATCGGAACATTGTCGGTTTACCAGTCTCACTTCTTCTAAATAAGATGCTACTGTTACTGTAGTCTATTCTCGTACCACCGTTACTAGATAAGTTAGGTGAAGTTGTATCACAAATTTTATTTCTTGAATGTTAGTTATATATTGTTTTATCAGTTGCGTTTACCATAATCTAATTATATTAAACTAACTTCTATATATTAAATTTAAACTTTTTAGTCCTTCAATGGATTGTGAGTCTTTTGTGTGTACTTAATTGGTAAAAAGTGAAAAAATACACAAATGATGAGAAAAGTAAACACTAGCTTTTTTTTTTTGTGCTCAAAATCTGTTCGGTTATTTTTGTATAAAACTGATACCGAATCGAAACCGAACCAAAACCGAACCGAGTTTTCGGTAACCGACTTTAATCAGTTCTGTATCGGTTTTGCATTCCGAGGCTACAGACACTATCGTTACGGTATCAGTATACGCTTATCGGTTCGGTAATCGAACCGATACCACTCCTAACTATTGGTATGTAGTATTGGGACTAGTTTGTCCTGCGGTTGTGAGACTTTGTTATTTAC